GAATGTGAAGTGTATAAGTGTGTTATGCCACACGTGTTCAAACTCAAAAACAACCCTACTATAAAATTAAGACCAACATAATTTGTTGTTGAAAAATGAGTGAACCAGTCTACACCAGTTCAGACATGTCCGTCTAAACCGCCTTAAGGTATGCTGACAAATACCTGATTGCAATTTCTGTAGTTTTCTTTGTCTAACGAGTTTGGTTTCAATGAGAGCTAATTCACTTCAGTGGACATTTTATCGCTCAAGCAGGCCATTGGGAGTTTTAGATTAATCGCACGAGATCAATGACCCATCATTTTATTCTGCTGTCTAGTTAAGCGAGGTCAAAATGAAAATTCGTTTGTTAGAAGAGGAGGCAATTGAGTACAGGGACAAAAATGTCAAACTCCGGACCCACTTGCAAATGGTTCAACAGGAACGGGCGAACACGGAAGCATTATTGTTTGAACGACAACGCGAGTGCGATGCCGCGCATCATCAACTCTGTTTAGCCGAACGTGAAATCGGTCGAACAAAACAGGATTTGCATCAACTGAAATTGAAAAGAGGCGAGATTCACGTGCGCATGGGCAGTTTGGAAGTAGGTCTGTTTGTTTTTCACTTAAATTTGTTCTGTCCTTCAGTTTTAGGTGTTTTATCTGGAACACTGAACTGCGGTTCAACGGATTACGTTTTTGCAATGAGGGCGTTAGTGGCCGATAGGGTTGGGTTTCTGTTCATACAGAACCGGATTAAATCTGACAATATCTAATCACTTTCGATACCGGGCAGTTTGCCATCACACGAAGCAGTAAATTATGGTCTTTTATAGCTCACCTTTCCAAATCCTTTTATTTTCCATATGACGAAGGAAATTCCCCTCAGTTAATTGCTGATCCGTTTTCCTTAGAAGTCAAACTGGGCTCAGGAACTAACTGTTAATCAGTGTCCCTGTAACTTCGTTTAAGATCGATATTGTGTAGTAGTGATTTGTAAGATATCACACAACCTTATTACTGTTTTTCAATTGAATTTGAATCTATAGGTTGTCAACCTTCCTGGTGGATTCTGAAACTTCAGCCCCAGTGATCGGAGGTCATGGTTAGCAGCCTCACAAGCTTGCATACCAGTTTGCCTGCAACTAAATTGAAACATGGGTAGAAAAACGGTTGATTTTCCCAACATATGGTCAAACATATTGCAGTGGTCGGTAAAATCGCTAATGCAACGCACACCAGAACGTCAGGTGGTCACAAGGAACCCGGGGTTACATGATTGATCCCTCTTCTCTTTTCAACCACCATTGCTGACGTTTGGCTGTTAACGAAGTCTTTCCTTTATGATATAAGATAACGGATTCAAGCGGAACACTGACACTTTACAAGTACTGAAGATGTCACTTAGACCGGTGATGAAACGTTTTACAAACAAATCGTAAATCTCGAGGAATAGGTGAAAATGATTTCAGTCCACTCGAGCCACGAGAACCGATTTTTAATACTTTGCCAATCCGATTACGTCAAAGCTGTTGTGTGTCCCTAAAAGTAATCAACGCAGTTGAACTTTTGTTTCTAATTTTAGAAGTCATTGTCCATAGGTACACGTGCACCCATTAGGCTTTACCAACTCAGTGTACCATACAAGTGCCTGCTTGTTTTTTATGTCTGTCATTGTAGAGATTAGACTGAATGTTAAGGTCTTGCGACATATGTCTTCTTTCTTCTTCTTGGTGCGATGGATTAAGGGAAGCAAGTGCTTCATATTACTAAGAGGTCAGAAAATGCAGAATCATAGACTGAGAGAGATTGTGATCAACATCACCCATCAAACACATTCGCTGACAAGGTAGCCCCAGATTGATAAGATATTCACACTCTTTGCACAGTTGGAGATGGCAATTATGAATGGCTTGTATCTTGGTGTATTTCAAAAGCCTGGTACTGTTTGTGTGGTAGAGGAATCTAAATGCGTCTCTCAGTCTGATACGGTGCTTTACTTCGACCAAGTTTTGTGTGATAGATTGACTGAGTTCCCTATGGCTTATCGGTGACGTCACACTTGCATGGTTTTCACTCATTGGTTAATCGATAACGCAGTTGTCTCTCCGTTCTGTCGATGTAGCACACAAAGTTGTTCTTTCCCCAAGCACGTTCCTTTTTTATCTCGCAAACAAACACACACAATTATAAATGAATGCAAACGAGATTCGGAAAACAAACGTGAACTTTTATTTAAACGGAACAAAACTCACTTGAAAGAAATATGACTTGAATTTCGCAGATCTCGATGAAACCAGAAAAATGAGTTCTTAGTGGAATGACTGCGAAATGTTTTATGGTCCATGTACAGAATCTCACGACGGGGTTTGTGATGGTTGCCTCCTCATTCAGAACGAAATATTTGTGAAGTCGAACGAGTTGAACTCAATCAAATCGCAGATGGACTACGATCAACAGTTGATTGAAATTTATTTGGATAAAGTCGAGGAGGATGTCCGATGCAGAGAGCGTCTCGATGCGCTCAAGATGTGCGACGAGTCCCGTGTTTCGGTGAGTTCAACGTTCACAGAGCGTGGATATGTTAAATCTGACCATATATCCGGTAAGTGACTGAAGCACACACATTCGTGAACGAAAAATTCATTCCGGTGAACAATTTGGAGAAATAAATCTCCATACCGGTAATCGGTACTGTGTAAGCTACTTCTTTCGTTGACAGTAGAGTGATCCAAAAATGCTGCAGTCGGTAGTCTGCTAATTCCTTGAGGTGATAGAGCTAGTTAACTACTGAAATACTATACGCCAATCACTTTGTTTATGACTTGATCATTTACTGTGCTGACTCAAAACTGTCGTCCACCATATCATTACATTACAATGGTTGTTGGTTGGTTGGTTGTACAAACTTACTCCAAATTGAAGTAATTCATTTATAGGTTAAAGAGTACATTGCATCATATTAGCGATGAGTGACCAGTAGAAATTGTCCCCCAAATCCTTACAAAAAGAACGCCAGGTGCGCGGAATCCGCTTGTGTCAGAGAGAAACAATAGGTGAACAAACAGCTATCGAGGCAAGTGAATTTGTACGATACCAATGGGCGTCGACAGAGTTAAGTGTCAGGGAAAATGGGGATCCGTGAATTGACCACACCAAGAAATGTTAGAGAGAGAAAAGAAGAACGAAAACCGTCTGACTGTCAGACCCGTGTATGTTCGAATGAATCCGTCAAGCGCTAAACCACATGACAAGTGCGACAATCATAACATCATAAGAGGTCAAGGTCAATGGCTGTCTGTTCACCTGCTGAGCATTGGCACCCATAACATAACATCTGTATTCTCGAATCGGGAGATTGTTGAAATTCTACCGACAAATGGGCCAGTCTCAGTGTACACACACAAGAATGCACGTGACATGTAACAAGTTAACTAGGGAACTCGCGCAGGTAAAGTGCACGTAAAACGTGTGACAGCTCCATGAGAAGCGAGGATGTTTCACATGATTCAAGGTTGGGTCAGATTGGTCGTGAGACGTGAATGGGATACTCAGATTGGAATCTTTTACACATCCATTCCCGGTGTGCGTTTTTCAACAACAAAATAAACTTGTAAACGATATGGTTATTTTGATAATCCAATTCTAACAAATAAAGATGATGTTATCGGTATATTCAGATTGGGACACAAAGTGAACCAAATAGGCCCATCAATAGGTTTTAATTCGATTGTTTACTTGAAACCTAACACGGCATAGCATTCGTTGTCGATTGGTAACATAATACTACTATCGGCCAACCAACACTATCTGAACAACCACCCTGCCTTATTCGAGGGAGTGCGTTGGATTCTAATAAAAACCTGTCATGGCAGTTAGCTTACATTTGCCAACTGGTGGATCCCATGCACCTCTTCAAGTTGGATGGATAACCCAAATGTGAAAAGAGCAGTACTATCGAGGTGGCCTCATGACTTAGCTGGTAGAACGTGCGCTTTACAAAGGCGTGGGCGGCGTGGGTTCGAATCCCACGGGGCGACTGAACCCTTCAAACATAATACTTAAATCTGCCAAACATCACAATCTGAACAGAATCAAGAGTCCATATGTTTCCAATTCTCTCTTTCAACATCGTCAGCTCATCATACAATATTTCTCTGACAACACTAACCAAAATCCATAACATGTTTGCCAATAAACCCTCAGCCATTTTTCGTAATAGAAAGAGAACTTTTGAACTCAATGCTTCGGCTACTGAAATTTTGCAGAGGAATTTTATTTTACAGTCAGTAACTTCACAGTTTACAATCTTTTGCTTTCACCTCAGAACTGTTTACCTTTTTGGATATGGACGTGAAACGATGGTCTCCGGAAAGTATTTTGAATGCAAACAACGACGAACGCTTAGACAAAGACATTCCACTTCGATTTCGCTACGCCACAGTACCAAAAAAGTATTATATTTTTTTATCTAAATCAATACGATTTTCATCAAATGATTAATTGAGTGAACAAAAACCAATCAAAATCAACGCATGAAATTATATGACGATTGGTAACTATATAATTTGAAAATCGAATACGGGACTCCACCGATGAAAGAAAAACAAAAATGAGTCATTGATGGAGATTGCCTAGTAATATGTTGGTTTATTTTGTTGATTCTGTGCCCTGAACGTTTCTTCGTATGAATTACTGAACCGTATTTCCGCTTTTTTTATCTTAGGTATTGAACAGTGAAGCTGCCAAACTGAGCGAGAAAAGACGAGCGATTCGCGATAAATTGGACAATGTTGTGTCTAAGAATGATGTACTACGACTTCGTGTGGCAGCTGCGTCGGACCAATGTCGGGCAGAAAATCAGGCACGACGAGAGGTGCTAAGTGTTTGGGAGAACATTATCTCACAAATAGTGAAGCGAGATGAGGAGTACACAACCCTGAGCAAGGTCAGTTCGTGAATAGGTCCGGGACAATAGTCATTGGGATTACTGTGTCAGTGGAATCGGATTTACCTAATCGTTCATATACAGACAATGTTGCCATGAGAAGTCAAACTTGTATTTCTTCGGTTTGCGCATATTTATCGCTAAGTCGCTCCCACATGCATGATTTTCTTATGTCTTCCGCTACGAATACTCCATTGAGATGGCTTCAATACTATGGATTTATGATAAGACAAGTTGTAATGACGTACAAAGTGCTGATTGTAAGCAATTGCAAATGTCGGAATGTTATTAGAACCCAGATAATGCAAACGCGTATTCGGACTGAGGACCCAGTGAATAATGCCATGTCAGACGGAACTAAGAGGAATGGTGAATCCAGTTAATTCTAATCAGAAACGTATACTGGTGCATGAGGAATTCTCGTACACCAAATAGTCAATCTCATTGCTGCAAACAAACAGAAGTTAAAAATGACGAATTAACTTAGAGTTGTATGTGGCTTGAACCCAGCTCTCGTTCACAGGTACAGCCGCACACAGTTCCCTCTGATCCGTACACTTGCATAACCACACGCTACGTATCCTAATCATACGTCCGTTCAGTTTTTGTTCTCTAATCGCTATCGATGTGGTTCGCGCGTTACTCTACCTGTATTCAGTCTATCCGATCACATGTGCTTGATGTCATCAGATTGGTTGTGGTCTCAATGTTCCAGTTGGCTGTTTGGAACCCGTAACGTGGTGCATGCCTCTTTCCGACCAGCTTTGTTGCACCACCATCATCACAGCAGTAACTCTTAATGATCAACCGTTATTGCAGGACTGAGATGACACAATCCCAAATTACCGGAAACGTAAGTGTGTTTTCTCTTACATGTTGGGCTACATATCTCCCGGTTGTGGAATTTCAGATGTAACTTCGTCTAGTACACAGTAAGGCTGTTTGGTGTTTATTTACTTCCCAAGCAGTAGAGGACAGTAGGCGCGACAAGTGTAAGTGATCAATGGAGCTTGGGGAACTGCCACAATGTATTTAAGCATATGGATGAAACGAATTTTCCGGGCTGCGGTCCAAAAGGTTCGCCAAATGCAATGCTGGAGACCCCTAAACTACAGCGACAAGTGTTAATGTTTCACTGATATCTTTGACAGCATTCATATCCTGCACTCACTCTTTGCGTTTTTAACTACCATGTTCTTCTCTAACCTATTTTTCTACTGTGCTGTTAAAAGGAAAGCCATGCCACAGAATTGCTAGGTTATGAGTTTGCAGTTTATGTTGTTATTCATCTGCGTTTTACTTCAGTTGATTTTTAAGAAGTACTATTTCATTTAATCTAAGATAAGTTGAGGAATCAACGAAATAGGTAATTGAATCAAACTGTTTCAGTGATGGTCAAGCTATGCTGGTCACCATTGCATTACCCCCCCCTCCTCCTTCTCGCCGCCATTTCACTTCCCTCTATGTCTTTGTATCACATACAACCCCTTTGATTATCCGTTTACCCGTCTCAATCATTTATTCAATGGTCAAGGAGTAAAGCGTTAGAAAACGAAGACGAGCCATTCTCATACCCACTCATTCACTCCAGTTTTTGATAGCTAGTTATACAATACTCGTCGTTCGATTTTTCGACAGAAATATGATGAGCTTAACGGGGAACTAAGAGGGGAACAGCAAAAAGTGGAAGAGGTCAAAAAGTTGTCCAATCTGGTGGCTGAAGACGTGAAGAATGCGGAGAAGGCTATTGCGGATACCAATAAAGAAATTTTTCTCAAGCGTAATGACTATGATTTGGCGTTGAAAGATGCCGAAATCATGGAGGAAGAGGTGAGTGATTATTTAGTATGCAGGTTGCCGTGACTTTATTAATAGTAATGATGATGATAGTAACAAGGAAAATGGTGAAAAATTTGGTAGTATACAGGTTAGGTAATGATTTATCTCAGTGAGAAACAAACGTTCATCTAGAATCACTCAGACTCTAAATATTTCAATCGTAAATACAGTGATATGTTTTTCATCAATAACTTTTTTTTAATTCCGAGGAAGAACCCTTGACAAAAGAATGCCGTGACTGTAGGAAGATACACAGAGTTCTTTCTTTGACCGAAGGCTCTCCAGGAATCATCCAAAAGCAGTTGGCTAACAATATTGGAACCTATTTCTTTCTAAGATATCTATACCTGTAACAACTGAAATGCATTCTCTCTGATCCAAACGTGGATCGGACTATATGTATAAATTGTATGGCGCTAATGACAGCTTGGGCAACAAGTACCCAATTAGAGGTCCCAAATTCATCACAATATCAAATCGATTGGTTCCTATAAGGACAACTAAATGAAAAAAACTTACTGCTTCAGAATATTGATTCCAGTAAGAATTACAACCCAAATTACTAATGAATGCGTCACATGTGACATTTTAATAACGGTCTAAAAAATGCTTTAGCATGTGACGCCCATACGGCTGTAATAGATAACACAAAGCTTCCCTGTTCATATTGCGCTGAAATAAAGTTTATTCAATGCACATTATTGAGGAGAGATAATAAAAACAATGGCCAAAGAAAATGAGGTGTCATAACTTGGGAAAAGGGCAGGAAGATCCTGGGTTGAATCCTCATTTGGGTAGGTGTGTTCGTTCTACTGATGAGAATCATTCAGGTTGAAACGACAGCAGGCGGCTTCCTAGTTTTTCTGCCAGTCATGTGTACGTTTATCCAAATCAATTCCACGAGTAGAGGCAATGAGTTTGAGTTGAGCAGCTGGGAATGTACGGTCTAGAGCTGAACTCAACTTGTGGCACACATCATTGTAAGCGCGGTCACCTTTGAACGCGGGCTTCAAGAAGATGGTGTTTTTGCTAACGTTTGGGATTAGGTTATCTTTCGGGAATGGTCTACTGTGAATGTCTATAAAACTTTCTGGGTAATCATTTTCTAGCAGTGTTCTCCTCAGGAAATCCTCTACTTCCTTTAGTGTGTCGGGAGAACAAATGTTTCTCGCCCGATAAAATAGGGTTCTCACAAGGCCACGTTTGTATGCTATGGGAGAAAGCTGGAAAAGTGAAGGTATTGGCCATTCCATGTCACTTTTCGGTAAACTGAACGTTGTAATGTCCCACCTATTTGCCTCGTTATTTATGTCTAAAAACGCTAGGGTGTTTTTGGTTTCTACTTCGTGCGACACAGAGAGATGTGGATGGACTGAGTTAAAATCCTGCAAAGTATTTTAAAATGTTCTTCATCAGTTAGAATAGAAATAAGCGATTGAAAAGATTGAACGAAATGTTAACATCTCGCGTCATTTGTCTCCTTTCTGTATTGATAAAAAGGAGTAGATCATGCAGGAAATCTCTGACAGGGATTCATACTCAAATTACTTTATGGAAAGACGCGATAGACCAACAGCCCCGATCAAGCCCACACCGATACTCGAATAAACTAAGATTTCTGTCAAGATGAACATAGAAATTGTCATTCCGAATCTGCTCTCAGATGTATCGAAACTGTATTCTAATTGCGTAAATCACAAAACCCAAACCACTACAAAATTGTCCTGAATTCCAGACACATTTTTGGGGAATTACAATTTTGAGAATGGTTAAACTCATCTGTCAAGTGAGATGTGCATCAGAGCATAAATCCAAAATGTGGATCATACAATCATTACCGCAGTTACTATCAATTACACAAGTGAGTTCCGGAAACCCGAGCAGTTAGGTCAAAATGCGGTTGCGTACCCACATTTTGGTGTTGATGTTTTTTCAACGAGCCGATGTTAATCGTGATTCTGAAAAATGACAATCCGATTGTGTTTCACAAATAAGAAGAAAGTAAAAACATATTGGTTATCTCGTAAGCTCTCTGACATACACATTACAGCAGCATTTGATAGCCATTTTGTAAGCACATGACCTCACGAAATTCCAATGTAAAATTAGTCGCGTTCCATTTCAGTAGCAGTTTTAGATACACACGCCTAATAAGCTTGCAACTGAAGAAAGTAATAAGAAATGCTTACTTTTCATTGTGCCTTCTTTCAGCACTAACAAAATGACGTGACCTTTTAACATACTGGCTTCATTCCGTGATGCAAATCTGACGAAATATGACAGACTTCTCCTGAGAGACACAGTGTTAAAAGCATTCGCGCTCCAACTTTGTCTGCTAGTATTGAATGAGTAGCAGAAGTATAGACATAGTCGATTTGGAGTCAGGTGACTGCATAATTCATCTGTTCCTATGTATGGAGCATGCGCAAATTGAGCGTTACACTAGCAAGCTCTGTTGGTCATTTTTAGCAGGATCGAAGACCTATCACAACTACAAGCTACACATTGAACTTGGATGATCCAAAATGTACCATAGTTGATAGTTCCCCAGATTACATTACTTCTGAAAGTACGCGGCCTAAATTGTCCTAATCAATCAGTCAATGGTACGTAGTCTGCGCACAATTGTGCAATGGATAGACAAAAGAAAGTAGAGCAAATTTCAGTACTGTCGCGATACCGCAGTCGTGTACGTGTCAGTTGCTCTGTTCCCCGTGGTTATTTGTATATTATTCATCAATTTACAGCAATAAAACAGAAAGCGCAAATCTGTTTCTTCAGGACTATTAACCAACTTATTTAGTTGCCGACTGATCAACGATCTCTCCACAACCTCCTATCTACAATTGCTTTCTCATAGCTGGATAGTTGATTGGTGATCTCTTTTCTAGCATTCTCATTTTGATTTATGTTCCTCCTAATCCATTACCCGGATTACGAAACTGTTTCTGTGTGGACTTACATCCTGCTTGTCTGCGCTGTCAGCCACCTGCAATTCTTTTTTATCAATAAAGCTGAATCAACAAACTGCACCTTTTGCCGTAGGTTTGGACGATGTGCCCGTATCGTCAAACCATTTGGTACATCTCGTATGGCTTCAGTGTTTTCAGTGAACCAGTTTTTAATGTACTAAATGATAAGGGAATTAAAAGAATAAAATCTCTCACCTGTTTAAATTTACTGAAGACCTCCTCCAATGGATTGAAATAGGGACTTCATGGTGGGAGAAATCGGACATGGTGATTGGTAGTTAACTGCGCATCCAAAGCTCTCCGATGAAAGGGCGCATTGTCAAAGATAAAAACTACTGGGATACCCGGTTGCTCAGCAGCGATTAGTGTAGAGCAGCTTGATAGGAACCCATTGAAAACATACCAACTGATCTGGTTCAAATCGTGAATTGCCACAGACTTCCCAAACTATGACGTAATTCATGCTTCAGCCAACAGCCACAATCCTCTAACCTTGACCAGCATTCCTTTAGCCACAAACCCGCAATTCTTTAGACACGACTCCTCTCCCCCTAGTCCTGTTTTTAACCTTTCTCTTAACAGTCGCATAAGCTTTAATCACTGTTTCCCATTCACATGTGAACTTTGTTCATGAGATTTGGATAAGATAATATATCGCGGATAAGAAACATCGTTCACAAAAGACATTCGAGATTTTTATTCACAGGAGTAGTGCATCTCAGAT